CGCCTCCACGTCGCCGCCATCAGCCAGGTCGTGGTGGCCCCCATCCTCTGCATGTTCTGGCTGCTCTTCTTCTCCGTCCTGCGCCTCGGTAGGGAGAGCAGCCCTGCTGCTGCTGAGGCTCTTGTCTGATGCTGGCACGTGACAAGCCACCGGTGTCTCCGCTGAGTTAGGCATGGCATGGAGCATGGGAAGGGGGAAGGTGTCATGAAGACCTGACAGATGAAGGAGGTGTCAGCTCATGTTTTGGGAAGGGGGTTGAGAGCTTCCAAAACCCAAAGCAGGCACCAGCCTGGGGCTCAGCTGGGCATGCAGCAGGTTCTTGGAGGCTTACATGCTGCCCCAGTGTCTCTTTGCTCTAGGTCCCACCCGGCCTGTCACCCTCTTCACCTTTGTAGTCCTCCTCTCYTGCATTGTCTTTTCCTTCTTTGGCCTCTGCCTGAAGAAGCTGCAGCCACGGAAACCGTCCAGCTACCAGGTGAGCACAGCCAGTCACAGCCAGTCACCCACTCTGTTCCTTCACCCCACTGCATCCCCTCCTCGCTTGCCATGGGGAGCCTGAGATAGCACTTGGCTGACCCCAGCCAAAGCTGGGCCCTCCAAGCCATCATTTCCTCACAGCCTCTTTCTCCTCAGATGTCTGACCAGTCTGAGAGCGCCTTCAATGATGTGGAGCGGAGCAGTGTTTCCTCCACTCCTAACTCCAATGTGAGTACTCCTCCCCAGCCCTGCTGTGGTCAACTGCCCTTGCTCCCCTGGGTCCTGATGGCCCACTGCCCCCTGGGGCAGCTCTTTGTGGCCACTGTCCTGCAGGAGCCTGAGCTGAGCCTGACACCCGCGGCCTCTCCGGCTCACCAGTCCTATGGCACCATGGGCAACCACCTGGAGCCAGCAGAGGATGGGGAGGATGGGGGGCTGCAGAGCTTYGAGACAGAGCTGGAGACAGTGGAGGGCGAGTACAGGAGCGGCCCTGTGTTGGAGAGCCAGGCTCGCTACCAGTGAACATCCCTGCCACTGGCTGGGGACAACCGTGCTGAGAACAGAGGATGTGCCATGGGGCAGGAAGGAGCCTTCCCTGCACTGGTGGGGGCCACCTTGCTAATGGGRCAGGGGATGACAGGACTGATACAAGGGGGAGACCCCATTGCATGGGCAGTGGCAGGAGGCTCTCATGGTCCCTCYCTCTGCCTGCACTGGCTGAGCCCCCTAGTGTCCCCCTGTCCCCACCTGCCTCTTCCAACCCACAGTGGGGAAGAGAGGGTGCAGCAGAATAGGGAGAGGGTCTCTCTGAGAGGCCATGCTTTTGGGGCCCAGARGGAGGCTCTGGCCCTTCTGAAAGGAGTTAGCATCCCAGACAGCCCAGATGAATGTGCCTGCCACCATGCTGTCCTCAGTGGTGGGGGACAGCCTCACCTAACCCTTGCATCTCACCCCACCCACACACTGCTGGGGCAGCTGTCCCACTGTCTCCCCTGCTGCTGGCCTGTAGGCTGCTGCCTGGCCCCACTTTGCCCGTTTTAGCAGGGACTGCTGACAKGGGTTTGCTTTGGAGGAGGTGAGTGTCCTTACATCTCCCACCACAGCCCCTGCTTGAGCACCAGCAGCCCTGCACCAAGGCAGGCATCAAATGCAAGCCCAGCTCTTCCTCAACCTCCCACCCCATACTACCATCTCGCTGCACTATGCCTATGCCCTTGGGCTCTTGGAGAAGTGGGAGGCCAAGAGAGGAGTGCGTTTAATGACTTTGAGGGCAGCTCCTTTTTACTCCTCTTCCCTGGCAGCACCCTGTCATGCTCATGCTCTCACTGGGGCTGCCCATGGGACCCAGCATGGCTCTGTCCTGATGCAACAGAACAGGAGGCACAGGTAGGACCCACACTTGCAGGTTCTCCTGTTCTACCACATCCTGCTTGCCCCTGTCAATGAGCTGCAGCCGTGGGATGCTCCCCCAGTAGCCACACTGCCTCTTGAGTGTGAGTCCTGCTGTGGTTAGTGTAAATGCGCCAGTTCCTGCCCAGACAACATCCCTGGAGTTTTCCAGCTCATCCATAATAGCTGTGGTGGCCCCTGGGGACGGGGCTTATCCTCGTCCTGCTCAGCCCCTCTCCCACCATAGCCCACCTGGGCATGCTGGGTCTCCTCAACCAGCCCTGCTTTGGCCTCAGGGCTGATTTTCCTGTCCCTCATTCTCCTGCTAGCTTCAGAGCAGCTAGAGTTGCCACCATCCCAGAGCAGTGTGCAGGGAGGGAAGGGAGGAAAGTGCAGCTCTGCCAGCCCCAGAGCTGTCRACACGGAGAGTGCTGTTGTGCAAAGGCAGATGCTCAGCTGTAGCACTGGTTAGCATTAGTGGTGCCACTGGGAGGGGGGCACCGTGTGCCAGTTCTGGGCTGAGGGGGAGGTTAAGAGGCAGCCCAGCAGTGAGCTGTGGATCTCAGCTGGACTCAAATGGACCCTTGAGACATTTCTGTGGGGCTGGTGGGTCTTGGCTCTGCTGGCCAGTCCCATGGCCCCCGTCCCACCCACGCTCCTGCATGCTGGGGCGGTGGCTGTGGCGCAGTAGCTGCAAAGTGGTTGCCTAGAGGGAGCCTGGACCTCAGATGCTCCCTTCCAATCCCAAAAAGAACCCTGGAGGCACTGTGACCTCCTGTCCAGGTGCCCCTGTGGCTGCCCACAGCTCAGCAACTCCCCTCGCTGCCTGCTCCAGAGGCAGCGCCAGGCCGGGCACGGGGATGCTGGTGGCCTCTCTGAGGGTAGAAGCAAGTGCCTGCGAGGGGCACTGTGTCCTCGGGAGCTCGGGCTGCTGGTCTGATTGCCCTTGGCTGCCCCACTGTAGGAATGTGCCAGAGGTCTGTACCTTCTTGTGATTTATTGCTATGACCGTGCCTTGAATAAAACGACTTCACCCAGCTGCTGCCTGGCTTCGTCACCCCCACGCGTCTTTCTTGGCACCAGTATGGGGGGAACTCTTGTCACTGGAGCCTTCTCCTGTCTGTGGGCTACTTTTGACCCTTCCTGGGGATTTCCTGTGGAGACTTCAGTGGCAAGGAAACTGCTTGGACACATCCCCACCTCTGAACTGCCCACCATGGCCCCCACAGAAACAAACCCCTGCACGTGGGCAGAAACAGCAAAGCGCTCCTCGCTGTGTCCCATCAGATAGACTGGCACAGCCCTTGGCTGCATTGGGGATGGGTTACAGTCCTGGGACAGTTATGTGCCTTTCTTGCCTGTCTTCTGTCAGTGCTTCCATTGGCAGAGCTGGCTCAGAGCACCACCAGAGGTGCAGATGCTGCCTGGAGGTAGCAGGAGGGTGGCCTGGAGCCCCTCTGGGGCCACAGCAAGGGGCAAGGGCAGGGGGAACCCATCCCCTCTGRAGATGGAGCAGATGTTCCCAAAGCTGAACTGCCTACCAGTAAGTCACAGGGAAGGGGGTGAACACCAATTTTGAAGTCTGCCTCTAAATTTTGAGCAAACAGTGCTCTTTTCTTCCCTCCTCCCTCCCAAAACACTCTTTATACCTGGATGCCTACTTGAATGATTTGCTTCTGTTTCAGCAGGTCCCTCCTGCTAGCTTCTCCACAGCTTCCCTGGGTTGAGCCCTACCACTCTGGTTTATGGTACAGGGCAGGAGGCATGGAGAAGGCTTYCCTTTGGGTGAAAAACTGGAAAATTTAAAACCCCAATCCCCCATTACATGCCCCTACAGATGCCGCTGCAGTTTATAATGTGTGGTAAACAGGGCTAAACACAGGGCATTGCTGTGCAAGGGAGCTGAACTGGAGCTCTGGCTGGGAGCAAGGGCTGTAATTGCCCCTGGTCACAGCTCTCCTGAGCCATGGCAAGCTGATCATGGCCTAATGCGGTGCCATCAGCCTCAAAACACTGCACCTGCACCTTGAAACCCTCTCAGGAACCCGCTGGCCTCATTGCAACCTGCGCACTCAGAGTCCCTCAGCCAGGGCCCAGCTGCCCGCCGTACCCGCCCTGTGCCGGCTGGTGGCACGCAGTGACCGGAGCATCCTCTCTGGGAGCAGCCAGAGCAAAGGGGCATTTTGTGGGAGCTGTGGCAAACCTTCCTGCTGGCACAGGCACTCCAAGATGGGGGTGCTGCTGGAGGCTGCCATGCTGGCCCTTCCCCTGCAGCRCCAGGTGTGGGCTCCCACCACAAGTCCTGAGGCCAGGAAGAGCTGGTAAACTTACTTTAGCAATGACCCAAAGGGGATATTTCTTTGCATTCAGATCTCTGCTGTTCTTGCTCTTCAAACCCCATCACACATTACCCTGTAGAAGAAGCCCWTCCCAAATGAGCAGCATGGCTCTCCCAGGATGTTTTTCCTTCTCTGCTGGGATTTCCAGCCTTCAGGAGATACTATTACACATCCTGAGCTGGCTTCCCCACTCTAGGCACCATTCTCTAGCATCAAGAGCCCAGTTCTCCCAGGGCTGGAAACCCATTGTGTCAAAGCTCGAAGATTCTAGAAGACAGAACCTCCTGCATCCTCACCAGCTGCTCCCTGGGCAGGGCTGCTGGAGAGACTCAGCAGTCTGGCTGGCAGGGTGGATGCCCCATGGAGCCAGACAGGACGTCATTGTGAGGCCCTGCTCTGCTGCAGGTGGGCAGCAGCATGTGACCAGAAACAGGTGAGCTATGTCAAAAAAACAAAAGCCCCAGCTGAGCAACAGAATAGGGATTTTTAGGTGGAATTACTTAGAATACTAATTGCATTGCAGATTGCTATACTTGAAGGGTCTGAGCAATCAGTAGCAGGGTGTTCTGCTAGCCCTTCCACTGCTCACCCTTCCAATTACCAGGCACAAAAGCTCCCAAGAGGCTCCCCTCTCATGTCAGTCAAGCTGCACTACACAAATGCTCCCAGTGACCAGCATCTCCAAAGCTAGAATCAACAAGAAACCAGTAAATCCCTCCCTGTCATCCTTTTCTGGCCTGCTTGGGCCTTTTATATTAAAATAAACACTGACATCAAAAAGGGCTAAGACTCACTGTTCTTTATTAAACAGYACAGCTGGGTATAAGAGGCACACAGACTAGTTCAGTTCTCTTGGGAGTTACACAAAATGTGGCACAGAAGAGCAGAAGTCAATGAGCTGGGAAAGCCAGAGGGAGCAGGAATGGTTTGGGCAGTAACACCAAGACCCCACCCTTCAAACAGCTGCCACTTGTCACACRGAGCCAGAACGTGTTCTACTCCTGTGATGCTGAAGGCTCATGGCCCAGAACAGGGTTGCAAAGAGAACATCCCCATTCCCAAACCTTCCTGCCCCATATCATGCCATCAAAGCTAATGTCTCCCCACAGCCCCACCTCCTCCATCCCTCACTCCCAGGTGCAAGGCTTCACCTGACCCAGCTGATGGAGAGAGCTGTGGGGCAGAATGCACACCATCACACCATCTCACCATCACACCACCATGCTGCAGGGCTGCAGAAGCACAACCTCTGGTACCATGGGGAGGACCACAAACATGGGGACGTTCACTGCCTCTTTCACAGCACCTATGATCTTGTCTCCCAGACACGGTTGGAGGGCTCTTTTCTTGCTGGAAGCCCATGGCTACCATMAGGAACTAGAGACCCTCTGACAGGGCACCTCATCATCCCCTCCATGGCATGGGCCTAGGAGACCTCAGTTACGTTGAGCAGGCTGTTCCAGAGTGGAGGACATCTGAGGACAGGAGGAATGTGTCTCCAGAAYAGGACCATCTCAGACCTCAACACCAGGCTCCTCCTGTCCTGAAGAAGCAAAAAAAGAGTGCTGCCTGAATAATTGCTCCATGTCCTTGCTCTGAGGCTACTGATGGCTAGAAACATGGTTCTGCTTGTTCCACAGTGACTTCCCTATCAARACAAACTCGTCCTCAAAGTGCTCAAGTTCAGCCCCCCCACCAGAGTCCTCAGGTGCTGCCTCTCAGCCATTTTCTGGKATTTCTTCTAGCAGATGCTATCTTCTCATTCCTGCAAGGGTGAGGAACTCTGCAGATGGGCACTGTGAGCAGCTGGGAGGCGCTCCAGATTCTGACAGCATCAGCAGAAAGATTCCAGCTATGCTTTCTCTGGCCAAGAGCCAGAATTTCCGGAAGCTGTTGCTATGACAGGATTGCATCCTTCATTTTTATTTTAAGACATATTTTCCTTGTATTTACTTTGTTTTCTTTACCACAAAGCAGTAAACAGACACTGCTGCTGCTGCTGCTGCAGCATTTCAGATGACTCTAAGGTAAAACCAAGCAGCCAAATCAACACAAAGCCTTTCAGCTGGCAGCTCAGCCCTGCCAAAAGCAGTCTCACCTTGTGATTAATGTGACACCATTGCCTGAAGCATCCCAGGGAAGCCTACTGAGTTGTGGCCAACCTGACACAGGAAAAAGCCAGAGATCTCATCCAGGTCAGAGGCAAGGCAGAAGAAAGTATCAGGATTAACCATCTGGTAGTGATGTGTTGATGAAGGGAGAGGGGGAAATGCTCCCTGCAAAGTTTGAGGACAGCCACATAGTGCAACCAATCCCATGATCTTGCTGCCTCTGCCCCTGGATGGAGCCGAATGCACCACTGGCACAGCTGAACCAGGCACAGCAGCGCAGGAGGACAGAACAGTGCCAGACCTGGCAGGTACAAGCTCAGCAAACGGGATCTCRGGCAAATAAGCCCAAGAAGCCTATGCCAGCCATCACCTAACTAGGGTGGGTAGCAAGGGGAGGGAAGATGAGCAAGCTAAAAGCCAGAGTAGATCCATGGGTGTTGGTGCTCCTGAAGGAACTTGGGGCAGGGTGACAGACTGTGCTGTGGCACTGCCAGGCTTCGCAGCAGTGACATACCCTGCCAGCCCTCGGCAAAGGCAGAGACGCGCCCGTGTGGAAGCAGGATGGAACCACGTGAGAGCCCCGCAGCACGTTTGGGTGGTGAGACAGAAAAACAGCCGTGGGCTGGTGCACAGAGAAACACAGCGGTGGGGAGAGRCAGAATTGTGATGTGAGTGCTCCTCGTGCTCAGGACAGCCGCGTGGTCAGGGATGGGGATGGCTGGCAGGATCTAGTCCCCTTCTGGAAGGTTCTCCCAGCCGCGCCGCATGCCTTTCACCACAGYGCTGTAGAGCGTGCTCCAAGCTTCCCGCACCTCTGGGCTGAAGGCAGCACCAAGGCATTTCTCCAGCATGTACAACAAGGACTCACCAACAGTCTGCAAATCAAACAGGGATGTGTCAAACTCAGCACCAGAGGGTGTCATGCAGCCTCTTGTCTCACTTCATCTACTTTTTTTGACTTCTCTCCCATTGCAGGGCACTTGCTCTTCTTCCACCAAAATACCAGTGCCCCTCCAGTCCCTGGCTGGTCCAGAATCAGCCCACGTCATCCCCTTCCATTGCCCTGTGCTGGCCCTCACCGTGGGTGAGTGGGGAGTGGCAGTCAGGGAGCAAGGGCTGGCACTGCAAATGTAACTCCAGGGGAGAGGGACACATCCAGTTTCTGTGGCTCCCAGGTTCAGGTAGCTGGGCCTATCCCCTGGCATGGCAGTGAAGCAGCAGAGCTGAGCAGTGCCCTGATGTCAGGAGAGTGGGTCTGACCCCACACTGGATGCTCAGGGCCTGCCTCGATGCCTCTCAGGCTTCTCCACAGKGCACAGAGCTGTGAGCAGCCCCGTGCACGAGCACCACCACACTGAGTGCAGGGCTGGTGGGGATCACTGCCTCAAACACAAGAGCCCTGCTCCCTCTCAAGAGAAYGAAAGCTAGCAATATCAGGAATGAGCCATGTGCTGGTTAGAAAGCTTTTCTTCAGCCTGTCCTTCCCCACTGCATTTCTGTCCATGCTTGATGGCAGGAGAGGAGTAATCAAGGATTTAATATAAAAGATGTTCAGGTCTTAATGCCGTGGAGGAAGCAGGGAACACCATCCCACTGCAGACACAGAAAGGTGGATGTTCCCTTTCCCCATGGATGATCCCTTTTCCAGGTATGGTGACGTTTGCCCAGAGCATTACATAAAAGCATCCAGGGCAAAGGCTGAGCCTGCAGTCCTGTGGCACAGGAGAGTCTGCAGTGTCCTAAACCATCGCCTTCTTCCAATGGTGGAAGTGCCTTGCTCCCATCTGTCCTTTCGGCCTGGGCTACTGGACAAGGGCACAAAACGAGGGCAGCTCAAGGGTTTCCCTCACTGGGCCAGTGTCACTGCATTGGTATCAGCACCTTGGACGGGCTGCCCTGAGCCACCAGCTTTCTCTCCAGACAGCTGAGCCCAGAATAAGGATGGGGACAGCTGAGATTGGCAGGCAGGGGTGAACAAAAACAGCCACAGTGGGACAGGAGAGGGCACCTCACCGAGAAAGACTCAATCTTCACACCGACTGCCTGGTGCTTCTTGCCAAGGTTGCAGAGATACTCTTCCAGGCAGGACAAGTTCTCCAGGTGGCTCACAGCAGCATCGATCACCAGCATCACCTAGTGCAGGAGCAGAAAGGCACAATGGCATTCACAGAAAAGTTCTGTGCTTATCTTGGCAAAGACAAGAGGTGATAGAATTGTGCTCTGTAATTTCAACAGGCAATTTTCTCCAACAGGAGAAAAGAACTATTTCAGCTGAAGGCAATAATCTTAACTTTGTCAATAAAGAGAGGCTGGAAAATAACAAAAAGCTTGCAGCTATCAGAGGAGCAGAGTTCTGAACAGCATCTTAGTGAGGAATAAAGGCAGGCAAGCAAAGCACCAAACTGGTTTRAAGATGGAGCCAGGCAGTTGATGAAGGCACCTGCAAGCCAAGGCTGTGCTCTGCCCCAGCGTGGCTGCTCTTCGGGGCTCAGCAGAGGGTCTCTGCTGCATCAGGGGTACTTCTGCCATGCAAGAGCCTCTCCTCAGCGTTGCTCCTTTCTCTGTTTTGGTGGAGGTGAATGTGGACTGCAGCACATCCTCAGAGGCTCTCTGAGAGGTGCTGGGGGCCTTGTGGCTCTGCAGCTGCATTAACAGCCTCCCCAGAGCAGTGGGTCCAGGGTAGCCGCGCCCAGTGCCCAGCTCTGTGACACCTCCTGGCCAGTGTGTGGCCAAGCAGAGGGCTTCAGTCCTCATCTGGACAGAGGAATGAGCTCCCTGGAGATCCTCTGCTGTAGAAGGACTCTTTCAGTTTTCACAGGAGGCAATCCACTCTCAGATGAGGGCATGGAAATCAGCGTGGTGCCTCTTAGCCACCACAATTTGCATTCTCATCCCCTCTCTACTGTTATAGGACACTCTGTCCCAGCCTCCTTCTAGCACGAGAAACCCCCTGCAGTCACCATCTCAGGAGAACACTTCCCATGCATTCCCTGGGCAGACACCACAGTCSCACATCTTTGCCTAGGGGGTTCTGCCTCCATAGAGGCTGTGCTCCAGCCATGCCAGAGCCCCCACCTCTCACCTTCCTGATGTGATCCAGGAATTCAGGAGCAGACAGGCACTCCTGAGGGCTGGCAAACTGTTTGCAGTTGTACTGGAAAAGGGGCAGTAGGTCAGGATCCAAGTCAAACAACCTGCAACGGCAAGAAAGAATGCCCCATCTTCTGACTTCCTCAGCTATATTTGAAGTCCCACTTATCCCATCAGCAGTACACCCACAGTCTTCTGCCTCCCTTCCCACCCACTGATTCCTCCCCACTTGTAAAAGATCCAAAAGTTCTGAAAAGTTTTGGTTTGGGGCAATCCAGATTACCTACAGACAAAAWCCTCTCTGTAGCTCCTAACCCCAGCTCTCAGATACATGTCTGTGATACCTGAGAACCAGTCCCAGCCCTCTGCAGTCCCTCCTCGCCTGGCTCTTSTCCCCAAAGTCTCGGTTGTTGTCTCAACTCTCCCATTCCCACTTTTTGATCCTCTTGAACCCAAAAGCTCCCAAATCAGGGAAGCCCTCCCTGCAAGCTCTAGCAGCCATCGGGACCAAGGGGGGCTGATATCCCATTCTCTGACACCATTATCAGCTCCCATTTCCTCGCGTTCCGTGCCCCCTGCCCCATCCTCCCTGCCATGGGACTGCCATGTCCCTGCTATGGGACTCCACAGCAGCCGCCCAGGCAGATACAAACCGGTACATCAGGCTACCGGGAATTCAGACCTGATGCTGTCACTGCTCTACTCCTGCACTGGGAGGTTTGGATCCCACTCGCTCCGGAAGCTGCTCATAAACTCTCCGACTGTCCTTTCAAAATGACTTTTCATTGATTTTTCCTTTTTCTTCTTCACATAATTGATACATTAATCTACTTCGGAGAGGCAAGAAGCTGGGTAYTAGCCATTCCCCGGCACACTATTTCCTCTGCCCTGAGACCGAATCCCTCTCTGATGGCCAGGTCAATGCCTGGGGCTGCACAGCACCTCCCTGATGAGAGGACGATCGGGCGGCCCCTTCCATACAGTCCCCAGAGCCAAGCGGACACACAGCCTTTCGAAAGCAAGAAGTCGCGGTGACGAGACGTGGGATCGGCGGGAATAAACGCACAAAACGTGCCCGCCGCTTCTCTCTCACTCTCCGTCTCCGCGTAGCAAAGTTCTCACTCGCGGAGGGTGGGAAAGGCAGRGCAGCAGAGCGGAGCTCAGCCCAGCCCTGCCCCACGCCGCTTCCCCACGGCACCCGCGGCTTGGCGGCGGAGGGGCTTCGGCTCCGCGCAGACCGTCAGCCCCGGGAGGGGAGAGAGGCCAGGGGAAGGGAGCCGGCCGGGAGCCATCGCCAAGCACAGGGAAGCGTTTCTCTCCAAGAAGCGGAGCTCGTCCATCCCTCCCGCACGAGTCGTGCGGGCGGGGAGGCGGCGGGGACCGGGGTGCCGGTGTCCGCATCGCCGCCAAGCTCACCTGGTGAAGAGGACGAGGCCGTGCTGCACGGGGCTGTCGCTCAGCCGCTGCCAGCTCTCCCGGATCAGCGCTCGCTGCCCGCCCGACAGCGGCATCCCGCTCTCCATGGCGGGGTGGGGGCCCTGCCCCTCGCCGTCGGTAGCGCGGCTCGGCGGGCGGAGGGGCCGGAGCGCTGCTGCCGCCCGTCCCTCGCTCCCCGGCGCTGCCCCCGCGCCCCCCGCCCCGGCCGCACCCGCGCTCCGCCCGCCGGCACCGCCGAGCCCCGCGGCCGCGCTGCCCCACCAGCGGCTGCCCCGGCCGGCGAAGGAAGAGCTCAGCGAGCGTCTCCCGCTCGGGTGACAGGAAGGAAGGAGGGATGGAAGGAAGAAAAAAGAAATTCAAAATCCCCAAACTTCCCTATCCCGGGCCCGCGGGCCAGAGCAGAAAGTTCAGCTGGTTCACGGTTGACATTTCCCGTTGTTCTGATTTTACAAGTGAAGCAGCAGGGCAGAGCCGTGCCACCAAGGGGACCACCGGGATCCGACCACCTTCGCTCACCATCAGCACAGCTCACTCGGGGCATTATTTTGCTTGGGAGGGCCTCAGCGATGTTCCACAGCATCCTCTTGCTCTTGGCCACTTCCACTGAGACTCTGGATGCCACACAGCCACCTCCTGTCTCCAAAGGCAGATGTAGTCTAGACACTGCAAAGTACATCTAATTTAAAGCTAATTATGGCAGCTGAACCAGGCAAAGTTGTTAATAGCAGATAAGAAGACATGTCATCTTTGTCAAATGTGYTCGGGATGCACAGATTCTCTTTACTGCTCAGACACTGCTTAATTTGGCCCCAGGACTTAGTCAGCACAGAGAAAACAAAGCAAGAAAAGGCAAATGAGGTCTCAAGCAGCACAAGGGAAGTCAAGAAAGTTAAGGTTTTCAGAAGGATGTGAGCAATCCAAAAGCATAAATATTACTGAAACCATTACTGTCTGCACCAAAATAACAATTGCGCTGATCTTATTACAAGTCCTGCTTCTGTACATCAGATTTATTTTTGGTAATCAGGAGAAAAGACAGCAGCCTCCAACCTATCCCAGCAGTACATTGACTCAGTGTAGACAGAAAGGAGGCCCTTCTTTTGGGAGAACTGAAAACATTGCCTGGGAGGAGACAAGTTCAAAGGCACAATGTTAYGTTCTCAGCCACAGCTTGTCTCCCAGGGGTTTTTCTCCAGCAGAGCTGGAGTGACAGCACTGGCTGCAGTGACAGCAGGAAGCCACCTGAGACAGCTCTGAAAGTGCCAGAATAAATTACCTGTTTTCTCAGGATTTTGAGACCTCGCGTTCTTAGCGCAGACCAGGCAAGATGCTGCCTAGGAAAAGCTCCACATGCATTAAAGGAAGMTGAAGAACCCTGTCCTAAAGTTGGGCTCTTGAAGGAAGAGTCCAMCAAACTGAAAAACAACAAAAAAAATAAACTGTCAGATGTGACTAAGGAGTAAGGTAAAACAGCACCTTAACTAACTGGTTTCAAAGGGGATGTTCACACTGGGGGGCTGATGAGAAGTCACTCCGATGATAAATGCTGAAGCTGCAGGGAGCCCGAACAAGCAGCTGGGAGAGCAGTGGGAAATACAGGGTTAATCCAAGCAGGGCGGAGAACACCAGCCCAGCAGAGCCACATTAACCTTTCACTACCTCTCGGCTGATCAGAGGGTACCAGCAAGGAGCGTGAAGTGTCACCCTATGTCATCTGTGSAAGGTACTCTGACATTTCAGCCCATTGTCAACCACACAGATGTGGAGCTTGAYCAGAGCCTGGCTGGACAGTTCAGCCTGGCCCTGCTAATAAAGGCCAGAACAGATAGGCAGTGGTGTGCTGCCAGGGCACTGGAAAAGCACAGGAGAGTCATCCTAGGCCTCAAGACACTGAAGAGCAGAGTTTAAGCATGTATGTGCACTCAGAGCAGCAGCCAAGGCTGAGTATTTGCCTAGCAACATTTTGTATGCATTCAGAGCTGGCTGATAGTGGAGGAAGAGAAACTCCACAAAAGCAAGTTGTAGTTAGGAGTGATCAGTTMATGAAGATTAGTGGGGATCTGGGACACCTTTTCTCCCATCCACCATGTCAGCTACCCTATCCCAGGGCAACAACAAAGTTCAGGTTCAGCCCTTGTTCCTGATGACAAGGGTGTCTCAGACAATAGCAGTGAAGCTGTGATGGCAAGAGAAAATGGGGGCTCCTGTCCAAAATGTTCCCTCGTGCACCTTCCCTCCGTGCTGCAGGCGGCAGCTGAACACTCAAACAAGGCACAAGTGTCAGAACAGAGCAGACATGAGGGCAGCAGTGAGGGTGCTGAGCCTGACATGACATCCCTCCATGAAAGTACGGGTGCCTCAGCTGATGAAAGAGCCAGAGGGCTGTGCATGCCCCCACCCACCTGCTGGTACCCAAACCCCACACTGCTATGACACACAGCAGAGTCCAAGAACTTTTCCCTGCCCCCCAGCAGCAGCTCCTTCTGGGAGGGATACATTCAGGAGCAGTTTCCTCTCCTTCCCTGACCCCCTGAACAGTGAATCCATCCCTTTGCTGCCTTCTGGCACTGAAACATCTCCACTCTCTTAAAAAATCCACCATTTTTCCCCCTGGGACAGCATAGGTCTCTCAGCACAGGACGAAGGAGCTGCAAGGAGGGACTTGAGATGGGAGACAGGGAGATCTCAGGGGTAAGAAACATYCAAGCCACTATTCAAACGATTTAGAATACTGAGGGTTTGGGAGACACGGTGCTCTTGCCTGTGTACAAAGCAGCTTCCTCCTGCTGTCACATCACTGAGCTGAGAGCCCAAGTGAGTCCAGAGAGGATTTAAAGCACAAGCAAACAAACAAGAAAACCTCTCTTCTTGTCCAAATGTTTTGTGAGCCTTCATGCATAAGAACCTCAGCAAGAGCCTGAGCACTGCAAATGTTTCCATGGTCTGAGGRTTTCCTGTGATGGTTCCCAGCTCCCTTGGCTCCATGTATATAACCTGACAGTTCAGCTCTTTTCTGAATTCTCCTGGATTTCTATAAGATCATCCCTGGAACTCTCATAAATGATGAACAACTAGGTCAGCAGCATAGACTCCTCCAAAATCATCTCTAGACCACCTGATGAAAGGGAAGGGAGGTTTTTGGAGAAATTCACTGACATGCAAAGAGGATGATGATGCTCTTTTCTGCTTTGGTAGAACACAAATTTATAATGTTTTTAGTTTGCAGTGGGTTTCATTACTGTAATCTACAGCCACCTGAAGTTACAATACCAACACTCTTAACTTCTCTTGTCAAGTGTCAGCTTTACTTGTTCAGTGCCTCAGTTTACCCACATGGAAAGAAAGTTGCCCAATCTCATAAAACAGTGTGACAGAACTAGGAATAAACTTGCAACTGCCAGTCCCCAACCCAGCAGTCAGGGCTCACAGCACTTGGAGAACAACCCTCCCTGCCCTTCCTGGCCCCATCTGCCTGGCCAGGGATGGCTGCTTTRCATATGCTGCTGTGGCAGTCAGTTTTCATCCCCACTGCTGCACCAACAAACCCACAACCCCCTTTGAACTCCTGCTCATTTCCAATTCTACATCTGTGAGTCTTCATGAATAATGACACTCTGATCTAACTGCCTCAGGCTCTCTGCTCACTTAGGATACAGACTCCTGGGCTTTGCTKAATCCCCTTTGTTTCCTCTTGTCCCCAGTCTCAAACCCACAGATTATGACAGGTTGTTTTTCCCAGACTCCCATCCCCATCCTTAGGTGGGAGCAGGTCATGCAGCATCCCCAGCAGTCTTCTCAAGATATCCCCTCAGGCCACAGTGCGGCACAGCTGAGTAGCAAAGCAAGTCACGAAATATGGTTGCRTAACAAGAATCAAAAGCGATGCAGGAGGTAATAATCTTGTCCATAAAATTATTAAAATGCAGAGATTGCTTGCTGTCCGCATGACTGTGGAGAGAGCAGGGCAGCATTACCAWCCTCAGGGATCTGGGCTAAGGGGAGAGGGATAGGCAGAGGGAGAAGGAACAGAGGGAGGATTCAACAGCAAAATAGAATGAAAACTTCTTTTGAATTCCATCTGCTAGACATTTCCAGGTTTATCTTGAATATCCTGTGGACAGATAGGGAATTTTTGCATAGACAGGTGAAAACAATCCAAAGATGACAGGGCATGAAGGGATGACAAAAATCAAAGGGGATCACACCAAGCTGTTGGACCAAGTCGGGGATTTGTAGATGCTCAGGCCTTAGCCCAGATGTTATTGACATTGTGCTCTCCAGCACAATGATAATGCAACAACACCTGGCTGATCTTCTAAGAAGAAATCTCTGCCTTTTGTGACTCACTGTACCAAACTGAGTTTGGTCTATCAACCATGTCAGTCTTCTTGACACACAAGCCGAATTTGGTCACAAGACACAACTATAGAGGTGTGTGCACCCCAAGCAAAAAGCTCTGCAGCCTCATTAGCTCAACATGGTGCTCTGGCTAACATGCCTGGCAGCTTGGCAAGCATTGTGTTACACAGCTACCTGGTTTCTGTCCTTTTAGGGATGGTGCACATGGGATCTTCCTCCAATTGTCCTTATGCTTCTGGACTGAATCAGCCTTCAGCTGCTGAAACATCGTGGTGGAAGCTTGTAAGAAGATGCTTTATTCATTGTGGAGTCTCCTCTGCAGTTTCCCCCCTGGAAATGTTGTTTCAGAAGCACTGCTGTTYTCTGAAGTGGTCATTGATTGTCTTCTCTCTGATCTCAACTCTGTTCTCTCCCTGCTTGCAATTTAAATTGACACTATTGATTAGGCTATCTCTTACAAACATTTGACCCACAGCAGTTGTCTGCAGGAATGGCATTTTTTATATGACCTATTAAAAYAATGATTTTGTATTTTACTGCCCCATTCCTTCATATGAGGGCTGTGTCAGCATTTTCATATTTCAGCTTTGTACTCAGCCATCTGGTCCCAAAGCAAACGCCACGTATTACTCCTTCCATCTGTGGGACACTTCTGGCTTGAGATCTTCTCCTCCTCACCTCTCTAAGCCATTCCAGTTTTGGGGCTTTGTCAAAAACAATTCTCCAGTTCAATGAGGAATTTTGCACCTGCAAACTCCAGCATCAAAAAGGTCTAAGTGTTGAACAAATATTTTGGTTCCATCTTGAAGAAAATGGTGTACTTATGCCACAACATAAAGCATTTCCAATTCATTAGTAACTAAACAGGATGTTAAACAGCAACTGCTATCAACAGAAATTTAAAACCAGCAGGCATAGATTGAGTCCTACAAGAGCTGCCTGAGGGTATTTCCAACYTAGATATTGTTAATTTTATTTTTTAAATAATGGTCAAAACAAAGATACTTCAGAAGACTTGGGAGTATGAAATGTGGCAATATTTAAAAAGACCAAACAGAAAGATTCAGTAAGGAAGAAATTAATTAGCCTGATAAAAAMCAGCTTAGGGAAACATAATGGAAAACCCAGCAGTGGGTTTATTCTAAAAGTGTTTGAAGACAGGTGTARAACTTTTCAGAGTGATCCATCAGTTCATGCCTTTCCACCTCTGCCAAGTAGTGATCTAATTCTTGATCCATCTCCTGCTACCTATGTCCTTACAGTTTTTCATTAACTKTGATACTCCTCTTTATGTCTTCATTTAGTGGAGCAGCTTTTTTGCTTTTCCCCAMCATGACTCCCTCATAACCCTTAGTAGCTTGCATTCTCACTTTCTGGATGCTTCTCTCTTGTATTTGAAGTTAATTAATAACTTTTTACTCAACTTATCTTTGCCTTCTTTGGCTATTCCTGGCCTTGCCTTGCACTGGAATAGTTGGTGCTTGAGCTCTTGTTTATTTATATATTGCTCCTCAGACTTGTTTCCAGTGGGACTTTCCCTAGAAGTTATCAAATTGTTTAAATTTACTTTCTTAGCTGCACTGGCTCGGTTTCGCTGTTCTCACACAGTTCATAGATCTTAAACAGAGATCATAGAATCAAAGAATTGTTAAGGTTGGGAAAGACCTCCAAGASCATTGAGTCCAACCACTAACCCAGCACTGGCTGGATTCACTACTAAACCATGTTCCCAAGTGTCGCATCTACATGCTTTATGTACACTTTAAGGTATGGTAATTCCTTCACTTTCCTGAGCAGGCTGTTCCAATGCCTGACCACCCTCTGAGTGAAGAAATCTTTCCTAATATTCAATCTAAACTGGCCTGTCAAATCGTGAGGCCATATCCTCCTATCCTGTCACGTGAGAGAAGAGGCCTCCCCCCACCTGGCTACAGCCTCCGTTCAGGTAGTTTAGAGAGAGSTAAGGTCTCCCCTCTCGAGAGGGGAGCCTCTCGAGGCTCAGCCTCGTTTTTTTCCCAGGCTAAACAACCCCAACTCCCTCAGCTGCTCCTCACCAGACTTGTGCTCCACAGCCTCCATGASYTCTGTTGCCCGTCTCTGGACATGCTCCAGCACCTCAATGTGTTTCTTGAAGTGAGGGACMCCAAAACTGAACACAGGATTTGAGGAGCAGCTTCACYAGTGCTGAGTAGGGGACAATCATTGCCTTGGTCCTGCTGGCCACACTGTTTCTGATACAAGTCAAGATGTACCACCTTACTCATATTCTCATTCTCAACTGATTCTCCCCATTTCCCAGCTGCTTTCATTCTCCACCTTGTAATGTAATAGTTATTGTCCAGGTGTGTGTCCAGGTGTATTGCCAGGGTGTGACTAATCCAACAGAGATGCTTTCAAAAGGGCAAGCAATCTAGATTCCCCTTCTGGCCAGTGGAGAAACTCAGGTACTTCAGAACCACCTCACCCTGAAATACAWGGTGAAAAAAATAGGTCAGGTGAATGAAGCCTGAATACTACCTTTTGTCAGCTGCATGACAGCAAGATGACTGGCTTTGGATGCAACATAGAGATAAAGCAATGCCTGCAAGGATGAAAATGGAAAACAATTTGCAACGATTATAATGCTCATCAGACTTACCCATTCTAAAAAGCAACAGCTTTCTACTTCCAGAGCATGCATTACATGGGCCAGAGCTACAGCGTTAGTGGTGGTGTATTACAAACAACTCCAAAGTGTACAGCCACAATCCCTGGATGTAAACCAGGCAGCACAGGTAGGTGTAGTGAAGACGGATTTCAGCATATGGACCTGGGGAGACTGAGGTTGGGAGACACAGCACAGTTTGGGATACCATATAGGTAAATCAAAGAAAATGAAAAGGGGGTCATGGAATATTAAGCGCCACAGGAAGCAACTTGCATTAGAAGTTTCTATTTGGTTAGAAAATAAATGATTAAGATGCAGCTTGAAGGCAAAGCAAGAAATTTGTATTAAAACACCAGGTTGTAAAAAAGCCTCATTCTTGTTGAGGAACATATAACAGGGTGATGGCTGAACTCTATAAACCCACAAATCTGGCAGGTTCAAATCTAAGGCAAATTGGAATCAGTCACCAGTGTTCACCCACGTGAGATCACTTACCTGCAGAAAGAAGTCATTCTTCCTTTAGAGGGCAGTGAGAAGCAAAGTTTTATTTCAGATATTATCAGCATTTTCCAAACAATACTTCATTTTTGGTATCTCCCTACATGCTAGCGCAGCTTCTGTATCAGCAGTCCTCCCTTCGAGAACAATAGCCCTGATCAGACAATATGCAAAGACCAASTTGCACTGTGTGAAGCAATACAAGAATTCAATAGGCTTTTCAGTAACCACTTAATAGCCCATTGTATCACCCTTTACAGGCCACAGTCCAGTTTCTAGCTGTCCTGGCTGTGCTTCAGCAGCCCTTGGAACATGTCTAAACAGACTGATTGGCCCTTGTCCAGCACTGGTCTGAGCAATCCCAGATAAGGTGGCTGTACTTTGGTTTTTCYCACCTAGTTCCAGCCCAAGCAACCCCTTATTACACCATACTGAAAAGCATACACCAGCCCCTTACTACAATTTTGTATAAAGCTGTTTTTCAGCATTCCAGTTTTATTATAGATTCTTGCATTAAGTTCACAGCGAGGGTCTCATTTGTCCAAAACTGTGCAGCAGTCTGGTGTTATGGATGCTACGGACTGAATATAAAAATGACTTACAGAAAAATGCTGGGTTCCTTAATAAAGTGCTTGATCTGTCAAATGAAGTGTTCACAGATAACCTATCAGAARCTTGATGAAAATACCCATTAACCCTGACACATCATACATATTGACAATTTAACACATCTTTAACAGGGAGAAATAAACCTGCCTCAACAAACAGCACTTTATTCTTGTCTAAATGTACCAGTTCCACCTCCTGTTGTGCTTACCAACACATTGCTTGAATTGCAGTATAATCTGATCTCCTAGAATTGCAGTCCAGCAACACTTGTGCACTAAAAGCTGATGTACATCATCACTATCTTAGATTAAATTCTCCAATGGGCCTGTTTAAAGTTCATGTTGTTACTTCAAGCATGTCTATGAGGAAGAGATAAAGGGAGAAAAACCCCACCCCAAGATCTAGACACAAAGAGAATGCTTCAAAGAAGAGGTATTTATTACAAAATTAAATTCCAAATTCTACCTCATTTTCCATTATCACCTGTACAAAACACATTTATAGCTCAAGGGAACATTCTCCCATCCACATCATGGGGTACAGTAATTGCACCGTAGTTAGAAGACATTCAGTTCACAGACAGATGCACACACACACACACAGTCAGGCAGCGCTAGTAAGAAAGGTTCAGGCCATAGGACAGAATTATAAAAAAAACCCTTCTCACTGTTGCTACAAACTCTTGCTTAGCCAGGGCAAGTTCTTGAAGAATGGCTCTAAACAGTATCTCCTGCAAAACACAATAAGCTCATTTGGTATAGTATTAGGAWCGATTAAAAATTCAGTAGGAGTGGTATCTATGCTAACGTGTCACCACCACAGGTATTACTGGTGACAACCATAGCCCTTGACATTCAAGTAAAGAGCATAAAAAGTTTAAAAAGTGAAACAACTTGCAACCACACAACCAAGGTCTTAGAACTTGAAAGAGAATTTTCAGTCCTGCCTGCTCGCAGCCCACAGCCCCACCCCAAAGCAAGGATGTTACGGAGGTGGTGTTCTTATCCTCAGCCTTCCTTTCCCAGCAGGGAAGAGCCTTATGTTGTTTTCACAGTCCACACATTTTTGCTGTCATGACACATTGCCCATATGTGGGGCTACTTGCGGTAAAGGGGGGAAAACATTTTACCTACATTCCCCAGCTGGCAGAGGCTGGCACTGCTAAGGAGGTTGTCACATCGCCAGCAGGATCCTGAGAGGAGGAAACAGTGCTTGTGCCCAGAGTGCCAACTCAGAGGGTCACTCAGGCACAGCATGGAAGGGAAGCTGCTAAGTGTGGCAATAGAGAAKTTCAGGTAAATGCCTCGTGTTTCCATGTGAACTGTTGTTTTGCTCTCAAAACAATTCTCAGAGGGATTCAGGAGGGGCAGAAGGGAACTATCAAGTAACACATCATTTGTTTACCTTTCCACAACAAGGTTCTGTTTTCTCTCAGTACATGGGGCAGGTATTCATCCACTCAGGCTACTACAAGACGGCTTGTCCTACCCCTTATTCAGTATGAAATGGATGCATAGCCCAAAAACTAGAGGAGGCAAAGATGTGTTCTATACTTTGGGCATACTTCAAGAACCAGAAGGAAGGAGGAAGATAAAAAAGTATATCCTGTCAATGCCCTTTGTGCATCAATCAGCCTTTCCAATCAGGATGCAAAAAGAAAACTCTGTACACACTAGAGAATAGTGGTGGCTTTCACACTCCCAGGGCTGCGAACAATGATGGCAAACAATGATGACACAAAGTCCTTCACCTGGACCAAGGGCAACCTTGGCACAGAAATTTCCATTCAAATCCTCCTCACATCTGTGTCTCACAGCATGAGTAGTCCAGTTCCTGGAAATAGGCCAGTCCCTGCTGCTGGAATAAATGTGTGTGTATCGATGTCCTGAAGCGACTGTTAACAGAAACCTTTTAAGATGGATGGATTGCCTAGGATAAAGCTAGATGAGCCTAGAGGCCTATCCTTCAGAGACTGAAGTTTTGAAAATAGAGTTTACACACAAAAAAGAATCTGAAGCAGGGAACATGGCAGCCTGCGGCTTTTTGTGATTTGAATCCATGGATACAGTTAGRTGAAATATTCTGTCAGTGATAAAAGGAGCCCTGTCAAGCAAGGTTCAAAGAGAGCAGCTGCTCCAGAGAAGAGCACCTTCTGGCCTCAGAAAGCACTGTTAGTATTTTCCACATGACCAGAAAAAAAGACTAATGAGCAATTCACAAAATGAACCTGAACTCATTCCACAAGCACAACTTGAAAAACTGAACCAAAGCAGCCCAAATTCCATCCTGACAGCGAAGAGTGCTTTGCGCCCATTGCCTCATGGCTGTACCACTCAGATATTTCAAGACAGAGTCAGGAAGGAAATCCAAATTATTGTATTTTATCTGTCTAATAAAATATCAGTTACTATTATGTTTCAGCCATGGCGTGACGAATTTTGCTTTAAGAAGTGAATRCTGAAGGTAAAATTTTAACTAAAATAACTTTTCAGTGTTTTTCTCCTTAAAGAAGAGAGAGCTGCATCAACTTACACTTACTTGAAAATCCAACCCTTGGAGTCCAGAGGGTGCAGAGGAAATGTCTGCCCTCTAGTCTTCAAAGCAGACCTTTCAATCCTTTTAACTCCAGATCAAAAATAAAAATGCTGCTGGAAATTGCTCCCTCTTGTGGACTAGCTAGGGTTTTTTCACTGCATGCCTCCATCCGCTTACCAGCACACCCAACCTAAAAAATAGGTTAGTCCCAATCTCAATCAGATGTCATCAAGAAAATTTCGGAAGGCATGGTCCTAAAGAAAAATAAACCTTTTGTCTGTATTGAAACAAGCTGGACTTGTATATAGTTAGGTGGGATGGGAGAATGACATTTGCCACCTTCAGCACTCAGCTGCTAATCCACATCCAAAAGATCATTAATAATAAATGTTGGAGGGACTCCAGCCAAGGAACAGACTGGTTCATGTTTCTCAGGTAACTCCTACAAAACTGTCCCCTTCATAGTAACAGAAGAAACCAAGGTTATTCAATTTTTGTATTCTCATTAATCCRATAAAAAAAATAGTATTAGAAATTGTAATTCCGAAATATTCCCAAGTTTCTTCATTTTTTTTCTGTTGTTAATGCTAAGGGGAAGTGTGTAATTGTATGTGCTGGACAAAACTCTGCACTTCAAATCACAGCTTTTATCAGATCTTCTGGCAAATCCTCCCCATAACAATGGGGCTATCTTAGAGAAAGCTCATATTGAGGATAGCAATGTATTATGTCAATAATCTCACCAAGAGCAGAAGGTGCTGAATCACATTTCTACAAGGCAGCACTGCACTGTCTGCCTTCCACATTGCCAACAGTTAACAATTTGCTGCTGCTGTCAGATCTGGCAGGTTCTGAAGAAGTTTGCAGCCTTCTCCCACATCCTTCTAGCCTGTATATCACCTCTGTGAACCTCTGGCTCATGCAGGTAGGAGCACTTCCTGCAATAACAAATGGAAAAGAACCATAAAACCCAGCAGCTAATTAACACAATGACTTCCCACCACACATAAGCAGCAGATGATTAACTCAAACCTTTAGAATCAAAAGCATGGGTCCATCCCATCTGAGTTAGTATCTATAGGAGTCACATCTATAGGAGAGACTTCTTCTGGAGAGATGTGACATCTAAGCAAGAGCCTTACAAAAGCAAGCAGCTGCCTTACTGAACAATGTTATGTTCTTTACCAAAAAGGAATGAAAGCAAGCCTGACTGGAGTGTAGTTCCCCCCCCCCCCCCAGAACAACTATGCTAATGCAGCCCTTCTTTGTGTTAAGAAATACATTAGAATCCAAGATCTGGTAAAGAAATAAATGTACAATCCATGCTTAAAGGCAGACACACCCACCTGCTGCGCTCCCTCTACCTGTAATTTTGATGCAAGGCTGTGAAGCAAAGCAAGAACTCAGAAATAAAATTCATGAGTTCATTGAAACATACACAAGAGTTTTTCAAATAATACTTCTTGCGATGGGAACACAACTAGGATTTAAGTGTCATTCATGTTGGATGCTACAAGGTAGCAACTTGAACTGTGACAAGAAATTGAAACTAGATGAATAGTACGAAATAGAATAAAAGGAAAATCTAGAAAAASTGGCCTAACACGGGATGAAGGCACCTGATAAATCTAATTCCGCTTTGTGGAAGGGGTGAATTCAACATCCAATGGCTCTTGACACTTCACAGACAAAGAATTTCTGTCTGGTCTCACATTTCCTTCAATACAGTAATTTGATGTTCATCAGTGTATGAGAAGGAACTTGTTCAGCACAGGAAAACACTGAGCAGATATTTTGGCACCAGCAGCCTGTTTTGCAGATGCCACATTCATTGAGACGTAGCCTTCCCCTAAAAGCACAGRCACTGGCACTGAAATAGCTGGGAACAAAAGCTGAGTGACAGCTGTCTGTAAGATTTCCAAGCTATCATTTCAGTCTCTACTACACCCCCATGCTGGTCTCCACAGCATACTGGGGCTGAAAATAATTCACCTGCCATTTCCACTGTAATTTCTTCGGCAGTTTCAGATGGAACTGGAAAGACRGTACAAAGAGCTGGAACAGTCTGGCTCTGGAAACAGGCCTGCTAGGTGAGTGTTACAAATGATTAAARGTGACCAGAAAGCAAGGCAATATAYAGGGACAAAAAATTTCCACCTCTGCAGAGGACCTGGGAGACAGGTAAGGCACAATGGCTCAGGTGATTTCAAACAGACCCCTATTAGTGAAATTTTAAAAATTCAGGGTCAGAACAAAAAAAACCTTCAGACACCCAAGGCAGGTACAATGAAGGTCCCCAGATACTTACAGTAAGCTTTCAAAAACTTCACCAAAGTAAAGGTCATTATTCATGATAGAAGTCCTATAGCACTTCAAACTAAAGTGGTGCTTAGATTACAAGAAGGAAGACACACTCACACAGAGTGTACATGCAACCACAAACAGCCTCCAACTTGTACTGGTCTGGCTGCTGGAATGCCCCTGCTCTTTGACTTGCCCATTCTGTTTCAAAGAATTGGCCTTTAGTCAGCCAGTAGTCCATTAATATAACCTATGGATTCAGGACATGAGTCTTAATTTAAGGGGATCTTCTCATCCTCTGCATCTTCCAATGCAGGCAGTGCAAACAAATGCCAAAGCAACAGGGTTACTATACCCAGAGCTCTCCGGAGAGGGCATTTTACAGTCACATATCTTCAAAGCACCAGAATCAGCCTGACATGCAGCAGATCTCGTGCTTCTGATCCACTGTTCCCAGGTTTCCTTTGCTCTAGAACTCCCAGGAGTCCATCCACCGGAGCCCTGCCATGGGGCTGCTGGGGTCGGAGGCCATGGGTCCTATCATTCCATAGGACAGTGGATGGAAGAGGTAGAAGCTGTGGAAAGAAACCAAATGCCCATTAAACACCATGCAGTTTTYTGTCTCAAGAAGTTTGCAGCCTACTGGACCTTTGTCTTTGGGCTGCTCTAAGCTCCACTGGGGACCTTTTAATCTCTGAACACAACATATACATAGCACACAGTTTTGTGGTATTTTCTCTTAGAATCTGATAAAACCTACAACAACGGAAAATTTGCCTGTATTTGAGGAATATGACACCATCATTGGGATTAGAATCAGGAGAAGAGAGTGTTCACAATGTGTGTGGCAACAAAATAAAGATTCCCTGCAATGGAAAGATGTTCTATAATGCATTACTGGTATACAGATGGTGAATCTAATCACACTTGAGGGGTTAGGATTGGGCTCGAGCATGTCTGACAAATTCAGCATGAAGAGAGAATTRGCGACTGTCACACATTCATGAAAAGTTCAGCTTTTAGCACTCACCTGTACAGGATGAGCAGAACCAGTGTCAGGAATCCACCTCCATATACTTTTCTAGCTGYAGTGCTGGGTGACAAGAACCCAGCACAGAACTTCAATAGTGCATCCCAGGTGATTCCTAGGAGAACGAAGAGRCAGAAGTTAGGAGAAGAACAGAGCTGCTATGTTCACTGACTAGCCTGATGAAACTCTGCTAACACTAGAAGACCATGTCAATTTTTAAATTCATTTACCTTCATAACCTTCAGAACCATTGTCTGAAGATTGTCTTGTATTGGCAGAAGGTTCTTTTCATCCTACCTTTCCATTTGAATGAAATGCCAAAGAGATCTGGGCCCCAGATGCTAACAAAGTTGGTATAAAATCACAGAAAAAACTACCAAGGCCAAATTACAGACAGGACAGAAAAGCGGGGGCAGCAAACGAAGGGAAGTAACTTTTATAAAAAAATATTTAAGAACAGTGAAATTGCACAGACTAGGAATCCCATTGCTAAATTTAAATGCCCTAAGCACTAGACATGACTGTCTCTACAGGGTGATAATGAACAAAAAAATAAAAAAGGTAATTTTGGCACTGCAAATGTTTTTCACTACATTGTGAAAAACATTTTGAGTAAGTCAGTGCTTTCAAGTCCTTTGCACAAGCCAGCAGAAAGCMTACAAAAATACATTTTTTAGTCTGGAAACATTAAATTTAACAGAATACCACCTGTTTACCTACCTTGTCTTCTCCAAGACTCTAGTATTTACCTGTCAACATGCTGGAAAAAAGCATGGCAGGAAAGTAGTGGTGGAAGTAGAGAACTCGTCCCATCATAAAAAAAGGGAGGTAATGAAGGAGCCAGCCCAGGGTAATCTGCCCTCCACCATGAAGCACAACTCTGGACAGTTCTGGAACACAAAGAAACAGACTTCAGCAGAGAAACACAGCTACAGTTCCTATTTGCAAATCATAACACACTATGTAAACTCAACAGCAATGTTCTTTGCAGGAAGACATGTTTTGATCTGGAATTGCTTCCAGCCTCTGCAATAACCTAGATGCATTCTTTACAAAGATACAAGCACTCCTCTGAAGAGCAGTTATCAGAAAAGATATACTAAAACTTAAGTCTCTAAGTATGGCAGGGGGTTGACCATGCTCTATGCTGAGACCAAATGTGCAGTTTCTCAGGGTGTGGATCAGACTAATCAGGTGATTCCAGTTTCTGATGGTTTTCATTCTCTCTGCAATGAATGTCTCTACACAGCTTAGCCAATAACTTATTCTATAATTGAGTAGCTTCCCATCACATTTTAGAATTCACTTCTAACAAGGAGATCTACAAAATGATAGAACCATTGATGTAAACTGGAATGAACAAAGAATGACTAATTGGAACTTGTGAAAAGTTCCTTGGCAATGAACATAATAAAGGATCATTTTATCTCTTGTATTTGTCATTTGCTTTGCATAAATATCAGAAAACATTTCTTGTCTTCAAACACTGTGTGTACTACTGAGTACAGAGCACATGCAGAGCTTGACAGCAGGACATTGATTAAATGGCCTGTATCCCTTGTAGCCAATGCAGGTAGCCAGGGACTATTTTTGTTGAAGATCTGTGGTGTTCACTATTWAACTACAGATACAAAGTTCCCACTCTTTTCCTTGTGGACACCGCTTGATAAACCAAGTTCAGTGGTTTCCCACCCTTGACACAAAAAGTCCTGTCATCCACACACTTTTAAAGTGCCTGCAAAAGGCGTTTATAAAAAGGAAGACTGACCTCACCTTTGAGTTCAGATGTCAGTTGCACACCTCTCTTCAGTGCCACTGCAGTGCAAACTGTTATCTGAAGATATAACCCAATGGTGACTAGATTTAGCCACCAAATCACCTACACAAGAGAAWAAGAAGGATCTGGAACTTTATGCTGGATATGTGGATAAGAGCAGAAATGGAAAGTTACATGCAAACATTTACAGTACAATAAGAGAGACAGTTCAAAAGGAGAAGGAAAAGAAACACTGTCACTGGCAGAAGCGAAACTAAACCAGAATTTGCTGATGACACTGGTTTGGAACCTCCCACTCCAGCTTACCGGGTTTCCGAGCAAATAAACCCGATAATCTGTCTCATTGACACCAGAAAAACGCAGTCCCTGAGGAAAGAGATTAGAAGAGAGAAAAACAGATATTCATCAGTCCAGTTTGTATTTTGCACAGTGCCTAAGGTGAGACATATTCTCATCCATGCATCTCAGGTGCTACAAAATAAAGCGGACAGCATCTTCAATGCAGTCACGAGGTGCTGCGCCGCAAAAGGCACTGCAAAAGCACTTGAAAAGAGAAAGGAAGATGGATTGATCAATATACCTGGTAGTTGATGGGCCAGTGCCAAGGTTTGGATGTAACTTCATTGTCCTTTGGTTTGAGGCCGCTGTTTCCCTACAGATAAGTCAACATAAAATTTGAATGAGCAGGCAGTTATGCTGCAATGTCTACCCAGAAATGTCTGTGTACACAAACATACATCAATATTCTTCCTGAGTGAAAACTCTTTTTTAACCTACATAAACAAATCATCTTCCACAATGGTCACAATGAGGACTATGAATGTTTTAATGCTACTGTGCAAGCGAAAATGGGTTTTGGGCAGCATAAAAAGCAGTATTCTCTCATTTCTCTTCTCCAGCTTTTCTGTCACTGAGGACATATGTTGCATAAGCAAGAGCTTTGTTCATTAAGAGACTACTGTGACAGGTTTCCCTCCACTATGAAAAAAAAGCCTTAAAGATTATTTCCATGGAAACTCATGCAGGTGCTTCCTTACCTGAGACAGCATTATCACTGATTGCCATGGAAACACTTTACAATAACACTTCACAAGCACTAACAATAATGTGCTTGATTACCTTTTTTCTCTTAAAAATCTGAGAAGAGCTTTGCAAACAGTAGCAAAGAAAACCCTAGATGCCTTCCTCAAAATAGTAACTTCCCCTTCTTCAGATGAAGGGTTGAGGAGCTGGAAGCAGAAAGGCTGTGGCCAAGAGCACAAAAAACAATCAYGGGAAAAGCCCGCAAGAGCAGTCTCGCAAATATTAAATGTGCTCTTTTTTCTTCTTTTAGTATATATTCAGAGATAAAAAGGAAACCAGAAATCACAGCTCCTTCATGAACTTGAAAAAAATCGGAAGTTTGCCTTTTTCAATCCAAACACTTACCGTTCTTCTAAGTGTCTGTTTAACTAAGTTTCCTGATTTTCACCACAGTAATATCCTCCTGCTTCTCAAATACTAATTTTACTTTAAAACCTTGTAAGAAGGTAGGGAAAACATTACATAACTAGGCAGTAGCTAGATCACACCAACAGCAAAGCCAGACATTAAGTCCAAGGCTTCCAAACTTGGATTTGAAAGATTGAGCTCCAAGATCATACTTTTTTCTAAGTATAAATTCATGTAGGTTGCTCAGGCATGTAAATTTTGCCCTAGCTTGCAGCCGTCACCCAGATCTCTCAGGAAGTGCTATCTCTTTTTGATGAAGAGAGAGAAGGGAGAAAATTATAATCTAGAATTAACGATATCTTACCCGGATCATAACCATGTGGGATTCTAGCAGAATTTCTGCAAAAGAAGGCTTCAAAACATCCAGGCTGATATTGGGCACTTCAGAGAAAGAGAGAAAAATAGATTAGAGGTTTGCATGGTTTACTTTTATTTGCCTCTTTCATAATAAACTAAACTCCCTCCTCCTACAACAAATCTGCTTCCAGAACTTTTAATTCTCTAGGCAATTCATTCATATTCTAAACACAATGGCTTGCAGTCAAAAGTATCCTCCAGTGAATTTTGCAACTGATTTAGTCCTAAATTTCCTCCTTTCCTTCCAGGAGCAACAGAAATAGATAAAAGTCTATTAAATAAATGATTTGTATTTCTGTCTGAAATTAGAGATGTACTTTTCATAGGCGGCTCTTTATCTGTAAATGAGCCCTAAGTGTGGGAATGAAAAATGCATTACAAGAGAAAAGGAAAGTCTAAGCCCAGGATTTCTCTTCTTTGGTTTGCATACAGTTGTCAAGAAGGAAGAACAGTAAGTGCTTTAATAACCCAGAACTCAGCCCAAGTTACCCGCAATTCATGGGATGAAAATTGTGTTGAACAACCCGGGCCAGATGAGACTGTGAAGCATATGTAACTCCTGGATGAGGCTGCAAGGCCCATCTGTCATTACTGGCAAACTTAGATCTCTGTCACACACTATTCATTTCTTGATGGTACTGCAAAGTACACCAGAACAGAGTGGATCCTAGCTTTTCTTAAAAATCACGGAAATATACATGACATACTCATATCAATGACAGTAATTCCCAATTAAACAATGTTAGAAATAAAAGCCTATACTGGAGTGCTTCCTACTTTGTAACCCATGAATATCTTAAAATCCTTTAAAAGTCTTTATACTTCCACTACACTTCAAGCAGTATCACCAGCTTCCAGTACAAACAGTGAAACAGAAAAGGGCTCTGCACCTCTGCATGAGCTCAAGTTCAGCAAGTTTGCACTTAAGCTGGGAAAGAACACATTCTACATTTCAAATGCAGAATGCCAGTTCCTGCCATCTGACAGCCCATCCCTTCCTTTAACAGTGAGCCAAGATGCACTCTCAAAGGAAAAGAGAATAAATTACTTACATTTAGGGTTAATATGATCTTCAAAGTTCCAGAGGGAATTGGGAGTCTCCTTCAGGTATGGTGTACAGGTGACTTCCACTTGTTCCCAACCCCTAAGGATCAGCAGAACAATTAACCAGCATCCCACAGGAACACTCAGTATTTCCATTTCATGCCTGAATTTTTCCTATTACACTTTATACTTCTCCATAGCCTCTACCACTATCACACAGCCTCAGCAGCTGCATTCTTACATGCTCTCAGAACCATGTAGAAGCCAAAACMGATAAGCAAGGCACTCCACATCAAAATTGTACAGAATATTTTAACCACATTTCACTYTGGATACCTAAAAAAACCTAGATCCATACATAAACAGTGGGATTTTTGAAAATTATGCACCATGCCAACTAGAAACTACTTTAATTCAACCCTTATTGTCCCTCCAGAAGAAAATCACCATTGCTAATTTAAGTCAAACCACACCTAGAACAACTGCATTACAGAAACAAAAGAATTACCTTAGAGGATACCAATAACTGCTCTTTAGTCTGTCACCCTATGTCTAGCAAGCCCCATCAAAGACTTTGGAAGAAAGTGCATCAAATCTGGCAGTAATATGACAGATTAATAAGGAATTTTCTATCAATCACCACTTAGCAAATTTCACTTATTAAGTAATCCAGTAACTAATTACCACTTAATTCTTTGAAGAACAGTGATTACTACCCTTTAAATTAAAAAAAATATAAAAATCCAATACACTCTAACCATCCTTATTTGTAGTTAACAAATTTTTTTTTCYCTTCAGCTCTTATTATCATCAGTATTTTGTGGCAAAAACTTCCATTCACATAGCACGTTGTTAGTAGGGAAAAAACAAACAACTCACAACCTTTTTTTAATGCTCATGATGGAGTCTGGCTTTTTTTTTTCCCAACCAATCTGATTATTTAGCCATGAGCCCAGTTTTACAGTGGCATCTAAGTGGCATTTGCACTCCTGGCCAGGCAGTTGTCAGAGGTACCTACCTGCTCTCACTATGATTCAGTATCCACAGGATTCCTTAGAATCTGGTTTTAACACAACACAGTAAGGAGAAACTTAAGGTAGCAGTAAGGGAGGCAGCTCTCAAAACAGCTGCAACATGAATGCACAGCCTCTGCTTCAGGATCCATGTCACCATCCCACACGGTGCAGCTTTACAAGCAGAGCACCATCTGGATGTGTCAGCATATGCCTTATTTTAATGAGGAAAATATATAATTCAAGGACATAGAAAATCCCAACCCCTGCTAATAGCAGCTTGTAACCACTGCCTCTCTTCAGATGCTGCATGCAAAAATGGCAGAAGGTCTTCTAATCACAAGGTAAATTAATTTCAATAAAAAGCAATTTTGAAAATTATGGTACAAAAGAGCATGAACTGCCCCAGTTTCTAGCGATTTCTGTGAACCCCAAGCATAAAATGTGATTTTAAAAACATGTCTGTCATCCCCTCCTGGACTTATCAGATGACAAGATCTACGTCCATGCCACTCTTGGATCTCTTAGTACAGGATATTATTTTCAGAGCCATATAGCTTCACTGTAACAGAGCATAACCCTAATCCAGATCTTCCCCCGGTCGTATTTTCAGTACCTGCTAGTTGCACTTTTTTCTTTCAAAGAAACAGAGGAAATGTGGTTAATTGCTTAGTCTAAAAGTACCATCGAGCAAAGGAACATGTCAGCTCAACGCCTTGCAGCAGTAGATGGGGATTACAAACCATTTACCATTTTGGCAGAGTCTTCCCAGAAGAGCCCAATATACACCCTGTGGCCACATGGGTTAGCCGGACCTGACTCCGTAGCACTTTGATGAGCTTCCCAGTCCTTCTGCCCACCACTTCAATCCTCCAGAAGTCATTGGAGTCTCCTGTTCCATTCTATCAYGTAAACATACCATCGGAGGGAAAAACATCACAAAAACAGAAAAAAAGAAACAAAAGAATGCCCAAACTAGAAGACATACAGAACTGGAGCACTGCTAATAGGAAATTCCGAAACTCTAATGGTGGCAAAGCCAAACAAACTAGCCCACTAGTTTCTAACTAGGCACTCACACTTCACAGAAGAGATTCCCCGTGAGGAAGACATCATTCTAGACAAAAGCAACCACTCTAAAATACATCTCTATCTTGCCAACCTTAATTTTGTTTGCTTTCAATTCATTCTTGACTGTAGCTCAGAGTTACAGCATAAACAGGGGTAACTTGGCTGCTGCACAAAAGGGGCTTAGGCAACAGATCTTTGTGTTTAGAAATTCAGCCCTTAAAGCAGATTTCATCTTCATGATTCAAAATTCTRTCATCATTCTGTCAAAGAAACACTTGTCTATGTGACAAGGCCAAATACATAAAATAATACTTGTCAGAGCGACTTCAAGGTTGCTCAGTTTGTCATTTCTGGAGTTGAATGCTGCCAAAACTACACKGACAATAAAAGTTTAAATTATTTTTTTATCTGTGTTCAGATTAAATAGACCTTAGATATGAGATAAGCCATTTCATACCACATCAGTTTTTTCCTTCAGGATGGCAGATGTCCATCTACCACCCCGCCTAACAAGCTAAAACAAGCAGCAATAAATCCCCTTGGCATGATATGAACTCTCCCCAAAAGAAGGAGCATTTATTTTATCTTGCCTTCACTTACTATTCCATAGCCAGTGACCTGAAAATGCTTCCTTGTCAGGGGAGCCTCATGCTGGTGACTGTGCAGATTTCTAGAAGTTCTGGAATGAAATTAAAAGACAAACCTTTGAATCTTGTCAATTTGTGGTAAGAACATTGGTTTGAGCCATTCAGAGATCTGCCAGTACTCGAACCACTGAATTCCAGCTGAGGGCATGGCAGGATGCAGCCCTAACAGGATGGGGGACATGGAGGGAAACTGTCACTTCCCAGTGTGTGACTCTGAGTTTATGCCACACTGGACAGTGACGGAAAAGGATGACAGCATGAATAAATCCAACCCTCAAACTACAGTCTACCACCTCCAAAAGGAAAAGAGGTTAGTTTTGTTTTGCTCTGGGTTCATTTTTTTTTAATTAACAGTGTAAGTGTGACAAAGAAAAGAAGAAGAAAGTAAGAAGAAAAGCAAGATCCTGGCCTTTTTGTGATTATCAATTTTGCATTTGAGGGGAAAAMTTGTACCAGTTAGAGGGAAATCAGTGGCTACCATTGAGCACAAAGAGCTTCCCACTCTGGCAGGGACTGCCAGCTGAGGCAAGGAGAGAAACCCGGCCATAGCCCACCAGTCCTTGGCAAAGCCCCTGTGCCAGCACCCAGCCACCGCTGCCACCCGGACCCGCAGGGACCCCACTGTCCCGCAGGACGCGCCACACGCCAGCCCCCAGCACCACTGCCAGACCCTGCCAGCAGCGCCGCCCGCGCACCTCCCGCGCCGGACACCTAAGCAGGACTTCACACATCTTGCCTGATCAAGATTCTGTACTCCTCACTACCATATTACATATAGTAAAGTCCGAAATTCAAAATTTTAAAAAATAGTCTTATAATAATTTTGGAAATCTAATCAATGATTTGTGCATTTGCCATACTGAATACAACRTGTCGTGATTTCCTGGCTCACAAGTTTAGAGGTTCTGTTAAATCAAAGCTGTGAAAGCACAGAGCATTTTAGTACAGTGACATTAGATTAGACAGTGTATCAAGTCACAATAGTTCCCCTGCTTCCTCTTAGGTATTCTCTGCCGAAAGGAAAGGGAAGGGACCAGCTTCCACTTTCATTCAAAGTGTTTAACTGCTACGCTCTCAGTGCTGTTGAGAACTTCAGCGGGTGGATACTGCCTATGAACATAGGAATAGGATTCTTGCAGTACACTGACAAAAAACCTATACTCTATAYGCCTAGAAAATTCAGCATGGAGGCAGGCAACAGAACGAGGGTTTCGAAACTGCTTCTCTGGAAGCGTTACCCTGATTATCAGACCTCACACAACTGAACAAATCCTCCTGCTGCTTAAGTAAGTGCTCCTAATGAAGTTGTATGTTTCTGTTAAAAGTTTCTCATTTAATAGACACCTTTCAAAACATAAACCATAGAAGAACAACTCTACAAACTTCACACTGGAAATTCAGATATACAGACACCTCTGTCACACTGGCTGCTTATGCCCATCTAATTACAGTCTCCAGCAGGACAAGGCTCCCAGCAGYTCTATTCAATCACACAATCTCTTTGAATCCCAGAAATCATCCTTACTCTTTATGTTCCAAACGAATAATATCTCCATGCCTCACAAACTCCACAGGGCTTGAGGGATCAGACAGATCTGCTGAAGGAAAACAAATTAATCATATCACTGATGAACTTTACCAGGGTCTTAAAAAGCTTTTTGCTCAAGCAGATAATAAAGCAAACAAATTTGTGTTGACTCTAAACCTAGTGTAAAACAGTGATCTAGACTCTAACCCTGTGAGCTACTGCAAAAAATGTGAACTATAAATAATACTTGCAACACTGATTGTTATTTTTCTTATACATCTACATTACTTATATTTTTTGTTGYTTAGACAGTTTCTGTTAATTTTTATATACATATGTGTCAGGTAAAAAAAAAGGAAGCTGCCAGACCAAGCATGTCTCAACTACATATACTGCATAATACTCTAAACCAACAGCTTTCTACACAAACCATAGATCATCACATTCAGTACTCCTATCTGGTCCCAAACAATCATGTCAAACACAATGTACCAGACTGTAACAGGACCCAACTCCCCAAGACACCCAGCCACAATAACAGATTGCAAAAAATAATAACTGAGTTCAGACTAATTTCCTCTCTGCTGTTATTTGCAGCCCTGCACAACTGAAAATTTTTCAATGCAACCGTCAGCTAAGAAAAGCCTATTTACTTCAGCCATACAATCTGGAGAAGAACCAAAACACAGGCACACATAATGTAAATCAAGATGGAGACAACTTCCTCTTGTTCTTTCTCCTCGCCCCCTCATATCCATGAAGGATACTCTGCCCTGGAAGGRACTCACAATATTTATGTGAAAAACACAAGCAGCAGTTATATATACTTTACTGGTATTTGTTACCTGTATCTGAATCATGTTTCTTTATAATCCACAGGTTATTCAAATCTTTATGTAAGTAGGCAGTAACCTGAAATGACAGGATGAACTATTTTACCAAACAAGAAAAAGGCTGGTGGTAGCAGACACACATTCACCAACAAATCAAAGCCCCAAATGAATGCACCAACACTATAGAAATCTTGGGATTACTGTTATGACAGTGCCCCCTAGGAAGTCAGTTACAGGCCACTCCTTAACCCAGATGCCACCTCTTAGCCAGTGTATGGCCTGCACTCACAAGCACTAAACTTCATGAAACTTCACATGAGCCATGGGGAACAGCCTCCAAACACAGTCTGACCTCCTCTCACCCTGTTTCAGAGGCTCCTTCTGCAAAAACAGGATATCCAAACCTGAACTCTTGAAAAATCACTGACCACTATCTGAAGCAGAAGATGGAAGMAGCCTTGGCTTTGCAGACAGCAGAGATCTGCGACAACAGGCTGACTGTGACAACCATAATATTTCTGCCAAAAGATCCAGGCAAGGTAAGCATTCAGGGATCACCTGTTACAGCTGCACATSCTACACAGCTAATCCTTGCCAGGCTGCTCAGCCCCACTCCCAAATTGCCCTTCCCTGCTCTTAGTTTCATAAAGTATGCTCTGCACTTGAATTCTGCCTGTGCTTGAGCTAGTTCGGCAAGACGACTCCCTATACTGTAATCAACATTKATGTCATGTTAGAGTATTAGAAATTCTGATTGTGACAAGCAGCAGGAAAAAAAGATTGAGGCAAAGTTGTCACTTCTGAAAACTTCCTCCTCACCACAGAGACAGAAGGGAGTTAAAAACCAAACACTTGTGTTTCTCTGGCAACTTTTTCTCAAGGAGCTCAGAACAATTTTTAGACACTAATAATCGAACTGCAGAATACATCTTGAGAAAAGTGCAGAAGCAGCAAAGATTTGTGAAGCTTGATGATGATGGACAAAAATAAGAAATCCACTTAATTTTTGTACTTCCTAATTACCGACAGTTGTATGGTTTCTGATTTCTACTTTCACTTACTGCTTAATCATTTAATGAGAAGCCCTTAGTTCAGATAGTTTCCATAATGACTACATTAGCATACAAACGTACAGTATCTAATTTAATGAGCAAAGCATTACAAATTCTTTGGTAACAGATGAAGGAAGAAAGTCACAAAGGAGAGGAATTCGTGTTAAGGTCACAGAGGCCAGTGACTGAAGTAAAAACAACACACAGCAGTTCTATTCTCTTGCTTTTAATATACAGCCAGAAAACCTGTAAGATAACATATTTGTTTTATATGTAAGTTTTACAGCCTTCCTTGAGGTAACTTTCATTATGGAAGACTATTCTGAAGTCCTCTTGGACTCCATTTATGGAGGGTGATCTTGCTGTTACAGCAAAGCCTTGTTAYTGTATGTCACTCCATCACTGCAATGTGGCAGGCTCTCCTCAAGCCTCCTTTTCAGTCAGTTCCAAGCCCAGCTGTGGTACTGTGGTACTGTGCACAGCTGTGGTACTCAGAGGGTAACAGATGCTGAGTAAACACATAGCTCCTGCCACAATGGCCCCTAATGCGAAATGCAAAGGGTGTTAAGTCAATGGTTGTAGTCACAGGCAACACTATCACAGCACACCAACCTGCTGCTGGCGAGCCCCAACGCCCTCCGGGTAGAGGTGCCAGTGGGAGTGAAGGTATCCCCCTGCCATCCGAAGGTTCTTCATTGTGACCACAGACCCATATGCCAAATCTGCATGAGAAGAAAGGAGAAAAAAAGATGTAAGGCAGCTCTCCTGTATCTCCCCCAGCTAGTCTGCAGTGCTCGATTAGGCATGCATTCTCCATTGTTTTGATGGAAGTTTGTTTCCTGTTTGACACATTACTCCACAGGGTTCATATTTCCCATCATTATCTAGKATTCAGGGAAACTGTTACATAACATTTGACTGAAACACTTAAAACTMTCCACTGAGTTTTAACATAAACAGAAGTGCTAAGGCATTCTTTTGTATGCAATTTCATAATGAGAGTTTTGAGATAGCTTTCCCTAAGAGTATACAGTCAAATTAAAACACTGCTGACTCCTACAGCAATAAAAGAGGAAAGGGAGGCAAGCTCAGCTACTGGATAGCAGAACTGATACCCTGGCTTAAGACATCTCCTCTCCTAGTCCCCCAACACAAATGACAGAACTCAGCCTTGGAGAACAGACCTGATGCTCTCACAGATCAGCTCTGGAGCAGGGGACAACCAGCAAAAAGCTGAAGTAACCATAAAGCTAAACTATATTAAAGGCTCAGTAGTGCCTCACCAATCTGAGGATTAGGGAATAACCACAGAGCCATCTTTTCGCTAAATTCAGGTGCATTCTGAATACAACACAGCTGGACCAATGGCACACTGTGTCACAAAAGTTGATAGCTTCCATTTACACATATTTTGGAAACAAATCCCCCATGTGAAACCTACAAATCTAAGATGAACAAGACAAACATCTATTTGTTGTCTCAAGCAATAATGAACCAAAGAATAACACGATGAATGCATATGAGTGAAAACCCTCACAATGGCATCTTTCCCTCTAGATGGAATATGATGAAACAGTTAGTGACCATACACTGAACATGGTGCTTTTTCTTTCTGCCAGTACATAAAACTGCACAGATGAATAGGATGGATCAGACCTTGACCATGGAAGGCATAATCCACRCTGTCCTGCACTGAGTCACAGGAGACACTGCTTTTATTTAAGCTCCCATGTACACTGACAACACTCAGAGTGGTTTATTCATTTGGACACTCACGCTCTGGAATGGAGACATTATGAAGATTGTTCCCAATCAGCTGGGACTGAAATGCCGAACTGAAGAAACCATCCCCAGGACCACTAGAAAAGAAAGCAAAGAATGTGACAATTCTAAGTCTCACTAAACAGGCATACAAACCTCTGTCATGCTCTGTTTTTTACAGAAGGAAGATTATAAAACCAGACTGAGCATCAGAAGAAGAGTAAGAATGGGTGCAGTTCCCTCAGAGGCACACTTCTCTAATAAGATGGAGACAGTCTTGCACGAAATTGTCCAAAGTTGCAAGGGCTTGAGGTCACAAAAATATATATGCTGGCAGTGCACAAAGCACCAGAACTGTCTTTGGAGGTGTTCTTACAATAAATAAACTGACCCACTGTCAGGACAGATATCATAAAGCCTTTCTCTGCKGAGAGGTTAGTGGTAAGAGCAGTCGACTTTACTGAAAAATAAAAGATTTCTTTTTCTATTCTTTTTTTACAGTGAAATGCTTATTCACCTCATTTTTTTAATGCTGGCATATGGAAAACATTACTTGGCCATTTTACTAGCTGTTGTGCTCTTTCCTTGTGAAAAGCACCCCTTGGTTGCAAGCTTTCAGAAAAGAGCCCTCCCTTCAGGCACACTCAAGACTTCTTTAATTACAGCCATTTTTCAGTAATGTAATTACTTTTTTTTTTTTAATTATAAAGAGACAAAGAATAGAGTTGAGACATTTTCAGAACYTGGAAAGACAGGAGGAAAAAGGAGACAGACATTTGGTTAGGTTACTTGCTTGGCATTTCAGAAAGTCTCAAGATCAAATTCAATTTCACTGCCAGCTTGGCCAGAGAGTTGGGGAAGGCAATTGAACAAAGACACAGCTTGTGGCTGTGCTTCTGACACTGAAAGTGGAGGACTATACAATCAATAACCTTTAATTCAAAGTAAAGACAAGTAATTCTTCTTCTGGAGAAAACAYTGTGAAATACCTTTTATTTAACACTGCAAAATGAACAGCAAACATTGCCGTGTAGAGGGCCAACGGGAGCACAATGAGGCAGAGTACACGAGCCAGTAAATGTTTCCCAAACATGACCTGTAACAAACACAACCTGGATTAAACAGTGCAGCTTCAGGAACAACACCACTCCTTATTTCACAAGATTCTGAGCAGCAGTCCTATAGATGGAACTTGCTGTGCAAGAAAGCTCACCAGGCTGCAGAATTACTTCAGAAAGGCCTGGAGAGAGGTAAAAGCTGAGACAGACCTTGCTGTGTATTTCCAAAAGCTGGAGTTGTGGTACCTTGAAATTTTAGAGTTGTGGGAAAAAAGACAAAACCAGGCAATTGGAGAGTTTAGTGTTCCAAAGTGCTGAGCATCCCTAAGATTGGCRAAGGAGGTTGGGCAGCTCCCACTGAAAATACTCTGAAAGCAAGGACCTTAACTTGTTTATCCATAGTACACATTTTGACCCAAAATCACAGCAGAGATGGCTTCCCAAATAGTAACTACCAAAGTTAAGCAAGAGGGAAAATGAAAATTTGCTCCCCCAATTAAGTCTATGCAAATGTGAATGTAACCAGCACTTCTTGGGGACCTAGATACCCTTCACTCACAGAAATCACCTTGCTTAGCATGGAAGCTCTCACACTGCAACTTCTAGTGCTGCTCAGCCAGAAGCTACAGAAAAGTCAGCAGCAAAACCTGTTCTTCAGCTGTCTCAACATGAAAGCAAAATATTTTATTTCAACCAATTGAAAATGTGGTTTGTAAACAGATGCCCAAGAAGCTATTACATTTTCACATTCTACTGACACCGCTGGTAGTAGAGTAAATAAKGTAAAATAGAGGGTAGATAATAAATAGCTGAGGGAGAAGAAAAAAATCAAATAGCAAAAACTGTTTGCTAAATGCCCACACCAACTTCAAAGTGGATGAAAGCAGATGCACTTGCTATTCTCTATACGTTTTTAACATGATACCTATCATATAATMATTAAGCTTATCATTCTCCATCCCTTAATACCAGAACCAATTAATTCAGAAGTAATAGAAAAAGCTGGACACATTGCAAAACTCACTGAAGTCAACAAAGGAAAGAGTTGTTCAGCTCAAGAACTTTAGCAGAATGCTTAATAGCTACTGGACCCTTGGAGAAATGCTGATTAATGGTACATAACCGAATATAAGCAGAAGAGGCACATGAACTAATGTCCAGGTCYCTATTTTAAAAGGTTTCAATATTCATGAAAAGGTTTTCTTTTCTTTAACTGAAGACTTCAATGCAAAGTCAAAAAAAGAAAGTGCATGTGAAAGACAGCAGTGAGCAAACCAGGACAGTGGACTAGCATAAGCTGAGAATTCTAGAAATCAACTTAGTCTCAAAAAAATTGCATGTAAATAATCATGAGTAGCTTCCCAACAAATGCAGAGATAAGTTATTCAGACTTTCAGGAGTTTAATCCTCACCTTTTTTTTTCCCTCTCCTCAAGCACCAAGGTTGCCAAATAGCTATTCAGAAAGCATCCACCTTCTGGAGGAAATTTCTTTACATATTCTAACACTTGGGGCTTTGCTGCCTTTGGTGCCAGCAGCACAAATGAAATCACTGTGCAGCCGTCTGCTGGCAGAAAGCTTAGACATGATGGATTTGTTCCATTTCAAATGCAATTAACTGATTCTGCTCAAGAAGTGTTTCTCCAGAGTTGGAACATTGAATCTTTGCAGCCCATACTGATTCACATTAATCAAATGAAAACAAATYACACAGCAGGAATTGAAAAAGTCTCACCATGCCCCCACTGTTTACAAGACAAACGAGACAAAAACAGTAAGTGAAAGTAATAGAATTTTCAAGCTTCTGAAGAGGCTGAGACAAGTGGTGAACACCTTTTAAAAGACACAACTGAAGAATTTGTCTTCYTGCTGCTTGCAAGGCAGCAAATGGTATATCAAGGTATTTCTCCAAATAGCAAATTTCACAATCCACAAACACAGAATATATTAGACCAGGACACCCATACCCACTAGCAATTTTTTTTAGGGCTTAGAAGAACTAAATGTGTGTGAAATCAAGCAGGCTATGGCTGTCTTCATCCTCTGGACTGGCTATAGATACTGCAAGTTGCAGAGCATATGTATGACTCGTGCTGCCCTGCATGCTCCTGCTGGGCAGTTTATGCCCCCTTACTCACAACAAGAGCCTGAGCTCACGCTGCTTATGCAAACTAAGTGCTGCAAGACATGCCTGTCTGCCAGGTAGCACATACTCCTTGGAAGGTCATGCAACAGTGTTGGACAACATCTTGCTCTGGGCCACTGTAAAGCCATTCTCAACGAGGATTTTTAGCTTAGACTGAAAATCCATCCAGCTGGAATGGTAGCAGTTTCTCTCAGGAAAAAAGTAACAGTCTTTCTACTGTGCTCTTATGACATTATGTCCTGCTAATATAAGGGTGTTCGGTTTTTTTCAAAAGTCTGCCAATAGTTTTTTCAGTAGCCTTAATCTCTATTTTTCATAAACCATATCAGATGCCCCTCTTTGCCGCAGACMGAGTATCCCTTTTTGGGTACTCCCTTTTTGGGTACAAAGCAAACAAAACAAAGAAACCCTTAAAATAAAGAAAAATCTTCGAAACTCACCAGTGACAGGCTGAGGTTCCCCAGCAAGTCCCATAGGTCATAGATTGTGTTCAGGCCAACCAAGAGGACTACAAAAAGGCCAACAAATTTTACCCCCATTGCTCCAGCAAGGTTCACACCGGTCAGACTCAGCCAGAACCACCAGGAGGCAGAAAATGGCCTGCAGGACCAGTACAGCATGTCAGTAAATAAAATGATGGCTACATAAATGGGCAGCCTGTGATCACAAAAATAAACAACSAATCAGTTRCCCCACAAAATTAGAGTCCACCTTCTCAGGAGACCATGAAGAGAAGAAAAATTATTTTTTCATTTAGTTCAGAATCATACAAGGACACTGGTTTCAGACACAGGCTTGTGAAGCCTTAATACAGGCTTCAGATACACTTGAGCCAGGGCAACCCACTAGATCTCCCACTTAAGGATGGAAACAGAGACACCAAGTATAATACTAGTGTGAAGAAAGTCTGACTACATGGAAGTTCTGAGAACAGAAACAAGAATTTTGCTCCACAAGTGCAAGTTTACTTCTCTCAGAAAGTTAGGGGCATGGGGAGGAACAAGAGACAAAGAGCAGCCACCCATACTAAAGCAAGAAAGTCTTAGTGGAAAACAACTATCCAAAGCACAAACAAAAGCTGCAGCAAAAAGCAGACAAATTGTAAGTTGATATAAAATTATACCACAGAAGAGAGAAGAGAAAAAATGACAGCAGAATTTAAAAACCTTTTCCTACTGACTCCTAATGCCTTGACGCTTTCATTTTAACTAGACAAAATCCCCATGACCTGCTAAGCAACACAAGTGCTAGAGTTGCCTTTTAATTTGCAGAATATGAACTACTTTGACAACAGGATTAGTTCTAAGATATGAAAAATAAATTCAGGTCAAGGCACACAGAGCTGATCAAGCACTGCCCTGTAATTTAGTGCTTGCACTCCCTGGGTAATGTGCTGTAGATAAGGACGGCCTTGGATAGCCCGACATGATGCTACAAGCTGCATTGCAGCCACATGACACTAAGATTGATATGATCAGTTCTTGAATGTTTCATGAAATAAAAGTTGCTCATCTATAACACAGTACTTTGAGTTTTTATGTCTTTGAATTCAGAATGCATTGCAAGGAAACTACTCTGCACAGCCCAGTCACAAAGAAGCTTTTTGACATATCCCAATACCCATAAATCACCATCCCCCTCTGGACAGGTTACAGAAATATCCTATCCAGCAACTTGACTACTTTACTCAGAATCATCCTGGCTAGACTTCTCTCTAAGTTTTTGTAGCAATTTCTCTAAACCAAACAAATGACACTATTTCCCTGAGASAGCAGGATTTTTATATGTGCTTACCATATTAGACAAGATGTGTTTCTCTGGCCTGAAMACAAAGTAAAGTTTAAGACAGCAGTATTTTGCCATTAAGGACCAAGGCCTTGAATATGCTACAACTATCCTTCATTCCTCCTTCTCTGATCCATGTTGTCCTTTATTTTTTTCCAGTCAAGTTTTAGAAAGCTTTAACCTTCTGGCTCCAGATTTGCAGTTCCATAAACTGCATAAACTATTTCTGATGACATTTCCTCTCATGCTAAAATAATCTATTTAGGACTCTCTCAGTGTATGCCAGTCACAATACTTTCTCCCCAGCTACACAAGCCCTTATAGTAAAAATTTCTCTCCCCTACCAACAGTCATATTCAGCTTCACGTTTCCAGAAATAATCTTGCTTCAGCTAGTCACACATCGCCAATGGCAGATATTACTTTAACCACGTGAAAGTTGAATACCTTTGATTTAACAAAATTATCATCCATATCTTACCTGTCTGCACAGCTGTTACATTTCACCATACTCAGAACAGCTCCCATGAGGAAGAACATCAGAATGGGATCCAGCAGAATATACTGGGACAAGGTAATACAGCCTGTATCTGCAAAGAGACACACAGCAATGTCAAAAAGGCTTGCAGCTCCAAAGTGAATCTAAGATTGTGGAAATTYAGTTTCCTCACTGTAGTCAAGACAAGAAGAAGAGAAATTTTAGAAACTGGAGGAGATTACRATATTTCAACTTCTACCTGGGTAACAATTAGAAAAAAAAAGAAACCAAAAAACAGGAAGGACAGCAGTATCTGTGAKAGACCATTTGGAAAATGCTGCTAACATGTTCAGATGGAGAGGATTACAGCCAGCAATGATCTACCCAAGGAACCACCACGGTGCCAGAGGATGCTACAGGAGAAGTCATCTTTCAGATAGTACCTATAAAAATTAATATGGCTTCAATATCTTAAGTCTTTGTGCCTTAATACCTATGTGTCCTCACAAAACCCCTATTTGGGTAACTCCATTTGCAAGGAGTCAATTTCTCCACTTGGCTCAATTCAACAAGGAACTTTATTCATTTCTTATTGTGAACACTTCTAAAGTAATGCAGAGGCTGTTTAACATTTTTGTAATTTATATGGGAAACATCAATATCTCACAAGCARGCAAAATCATTCCTGACCATCCATCTTCTAAATATTTTTATAAGGTGAAACCTAACCCAATATTGTGGTTATGCAAATAATGGAAGTACCTACGAACTAAATAAGACTGTAAAGTTCTCAAGGGGACCACCAACCAATTAAAAGCCTCACATATGAAGTAGAATTACTTTGCTTTTGAGAAAGTCTCTCATTAATCCACATATCTCTTAGTTAGATAACACATGATAATCGAGAAATTAAATTATCTGAACAGCTTAGATACTCATTTTTGCTGTAGCAGGAACACCTACCAAAAATAAGGATGAAACCTGTGAGTAAGGCTGCTGGCAGTGATTTTGACAGCTCCAACACTGTGAGGTAGGCCAAGGGAACCAGGCAGGAGCCAAGGAATGCACAGAACTGCAGGAAAAGATCATGGGAGAAGTTATAACCCCACCTACAGTGAACAAGAGCACCCTTTCCTTTCCTTCATCTCCCACATCTACAACAGGAGGCGATGCAGCGGCTGAACCGAGTCACAGAGAATATTGGACAAAAGCCAGTTGAACAAAGACAATGTTCAGAGGACAGAGGCTTACTCTSTTCTGCAGAAATGTCAGTAACAACAGTCAATCATACAGTTATGAATCAGATATTCGTTAAAGGATGTGTCAAGYAGATGCACTACAGATCCACTACACCCAACTTTTTTATACCCAGATACTAGATCATGAATCTATGAACAAAAYACATATATATGTTCCTTAATTCTTTAGCAGACCAGATTCCCCTCCCCAACACAAATGAAAACAAGGATAGTTGAAGGAAAAAGGGCAGAAATCAAAACAAAAGACAGCAAGACCACAGTAACAGTTATTCCCTTCAATGTCTACTTCTAGCACCTCTCCCATCTTTGGCTCAGGGAAATCTAAACCCATGAGCTTCTGGAGACTAAACTACGAAAAAATGCCTTCCCAGTTTTCTTTTTTCTTTCTAGGTAGCAACAATTGGCCACTCCTTCTCCTTTTGACTTGTGTTATCTGTTGTCAGTTATCCTGGTCTTCCTAGACAGCAGTACAGACTGAGTTTTCAGATAGAATAAAACTCTGAATTCTGCCCCACTGTCCCAGGCTCCAACAGCATACTCAGCTCAGTGTCACTAGTGGTGGCAAACTGCAAGTGCCAGGGGATGATCCTGCCTTTTTGATGTCCTTGGCTCCCCARAAAATTAGCCAGGCACAATGGAGAGAGAGAATCTTAAGCTCAGCAATGCTTGCTTTGAAAAACAGGCAAGACATATATCCCATGGAGCAGTGTAATCTCACTAATTAGCAGCAAGAGTTGGCCTCAATTTTCACCTTAATTTCTTACCTGGTCTCTCACAGCCAGACATTAAGACTTATTCACGATAGAACCACTAACACTTTTCAAAGGAGCTTAAAGACAAGGCACAAGGCTACAAAGACCTCTGACCTGACCAAGGAGAGCTGTTCTTATGACATAACACTCTGCATTGAAAGGCACAGGAAAGCTAACCAGCTTGATACTAGCCCACAGAGCCTTACCCCTCTCATCCCTATATAGTTGTGCTGCTCATATCGATCCCCTGGCTTTTGGAAAGGAAATGTACCATCATATCCACTAAGGTAGCCAGCAAGTCCAATCAGCATCTGAAGAGGAAAGGTGAAAAAAAATGGTCAGGGAAATCACACAGGAGGAAAAAGCACCCAAGCTAGCAGCAGGTAAGATTTTTATAGAACCCATATTGATCCAGAGGACAACTACTTAATTCAGACACATCATCCAAAAAAGAGTTTATTTACAGAAGTCACATGCGTACATATTGCCGTTTGTCTATAAAGGCAAAATCTGAATTATTTTGGCTACAGCCTATAAGAATGACTGTAAGCTCAAGAAAAATACGTGTGGAATTGAGCAGAGAGAATTCTGTTTCTGTAGAGTCTCCCCTAGCTCCCTATCCCTTTAGTTTCAGAAGACTCAGTCTGGAAAGGAAGATAACCTTGACAAGGCAGGAGGACTGCACCTTAAGTCACACTACACACTGTTTCTAAAACAAGTTCATCATTTACAGAATAGGAAATCAGTGTTCTCAGGGTCCTTTGTGATGGGCATTCACTCACAGGTTATGGAATTGTTTGTTTCCTTTCAAATGTAGGCTTCTATTACACATGCTCTCCGTCACATTGGTTTTTTCATGTCAAGCCTTTCAAACACCCAACATGCAACACTGGTTTTCTTATATTTGAAGCGTTTTTGTGAACACAGAAAGTTAAAAGTTGAGCCTCGAGACACAGAATGCAAATTGCTATGATTTCAACAGTTAGAAAAGACTTCGTTGTTCATCACATCTTTCGGCCAGAAGGCAGAGGCAGATTTCTATTGGCCCACTCCTGTGGCTTCTAAAGGCTTCTAAAACATGGAACAGAAAAGCAGTTTACCTTCCCCAAAGGGGGATGGACATCAAAGAAGAAGGTCCGATTAATGTAGTAACTTCCCATCTTTCCAAAATGAGTTTCATCCCAACTGGAAAAAACACACCAAACAAAACACAAACCACAATAACCAACCTGCTGTAATGCTGAAGACAGTAWGAACAAAAAATTAAAAATCCATGAAGGTCTTTTCACTTATGCTTTTTATAATACAGAGGTTTACTGCCATACATTCCATATGACACAATGTGTTACACTCAGTGGGAAATCATGGGAAGCACTTTAGGCGTTGTAGGAAAGCTCTTTTTTTAAAAGTTTGATATTATCACTCCAAAACTTCTGGTTTGCCCTTTTGATTCCRAATCGACCTTAGCGAGGTTTAAAAGTCAGTCTGCTGCACACAGATCCCAAAACCCCAAAACAGCAGCACGTCCCTACCGCAGCGGGAGCGGCGCAGGGGCCGGASCGGGCTGGCCTGAGAGTGCAGCGCTTCCCTGCGCCCCTCAGTGCCAGGGTCCCTCCCTCCAACTGCCCGGGATAAACAGGGATCCCTCCCGCGCCGGGCGAGGCCGGAGCGGGGAAGGGACGTGCCGGAATCAGGGCGCAGTCCCGGCCGCTGTGGCCCGGAGGAGGCGGATACGCACCCACCCGCACCCCGGGGCCCGGGCAGTGCCCGGCCGGAGAGGGGCACTGCCCCGGCCCGGCCCGTACCAGACGTGCGGCGGCTCCCGCAGGCGGTGGAAGCGGGAGGCGAAGCTCAGGAGGGTGACGAGGGCCAGCGCGGCCGGGCGGGTGGCGGCGGGCGGGGCGGGACGCACCG